CTAGTTCTTCATTAGACTTTTGTAAATCATTACATTGCTTGGTCATTTCTTCGATTTCTCTTTGTAAGTTTTGTGTTTGGTGTTTCTCGTGGGCGGATATTCACTTCAGCCATTTCTAAAGTCTCCTCTATTTCATTATACTCGTCGTTTTCTTCTAATGCATCTTGTTTCTCCATTTTAACTTTTTCTAATTCTTTTTTTAATGCTGATTGAGATTCAATAATTTTAATTTTAAATTCTGCAGCTTGATCCAGCTGCAATTTCATCATATCAATAACATCTCAGGCAGTACACAATCATTAAATGATCTATCACGTCCTCTTGTATACAAATGATAACAAATACCAGGTCTTACACGACCTGCTCTACTTCGACATTGTAAACAATTAGCTAAGCTAACCCATTCTTCATTAAGAGGTCCAATGTTATTTTCTGCATCGAATCCTTTTAATTTCTTCCGGTCATTATAATAACATAAACTACATTGTCTATGGTAACTGAAGTCTCTGCTATGTTTGTGGATAATATGATCTTACAAAAACCTATTATAATGCTAACATTAAACAAAAAAGCGTTTAAAGAATTTTAATATTTAATGCTTACCCCGAGGCGGCGATTCAAAAACAGATTTTTGAGATACAGTAGGTGACATGGAATGCAAGAGAATCAGTATGTATCGAGCTACAAAATAAAAAAATTATATTTATAAACAGATATCAAAATTTTTATGAAATTCTACATTTATACAATATACTTTACATGTATTTCCAAAGCGTTAGTCTTTAAAAATTTTAGTCAGTTTTGATATTTGATCCCATCCAAAAAGAAACACAAGTATTGCACCATCATCTTTATTGTTACAAAATATGTAATATATGAGTTCTAAAATCAATTCTTAATCTGTATCTTCAGACTTTGGATTTTCCAACCAATTCAATATTGCAAAAGGATATTTTTTGAATCTCTTCATTTCATTACAATAGATTTTGTTATTTGATTATTTGTTAACAATATGTAAGTAAATATATCTTAATATATCTTTTACATGCATACTTACTTTACATAAGGAATTACAAATTCAGTGAAGGGATCACCAGGTTTAATTTTGCGAGATCTTTGTGTTGGTTTTTTAGGAAAATATCTAAACCTGTATTCAGCAGAAATAAATGAAATTATTAGATATTAGCAATGATAAAAAAATTTAACAAACCTATTTAACGTATAAATTTCTTCAAGGAAAATTTCTTCAACTAGATATGTTAATCCCTGTATATTCAAAGATGGACAGTCATTGTAATACTTGGAAAATGCTGCAGCATTAATATAACTTTAATATGAGGTCTCTGGATTAACAGTACAAAAAAAAAAAAAAATTAAAATAAAATACTACGATAGCAAGAAACATATTATGCATGTAATTACAACAGGTATGATGCTCTCGAGAATAGTTAATGTAAAATCACTAATGGTGTCACGTTCATGTATTTCATCAATGATAATATGTGAGTAATAATTTAAAGCTGAATCTCTTTGGATATGTTGAAGTAAAATAACAGTAGTACAAAATAATACAGATCCATATTCACAAAACAATTTTCTAAAATATAATACATTATATTAGATATTAGTTTCTTCTATTTACTTAATATTATAATCATGTACTTTGAAGAATAAATCATTAATATATTTGTATTCTCTAGTAAGTATTTCTCAACTTACTGTGAAAATTTAGTTGAAAATAAATGTAATATTAATAAACAATTCATATTAACCTATGCCAATAATTAAGGTGTACAACTTATTAGTTTGTACCTATATGACATTTTAGATATTCACATACTTCAATAGAACTTTATTTTGTATCAACTTGCCACTTAATCGCAATGTCCCAAAATACAGATCCAATTGTCATAAAAATCAGATCAATAGTGACGAGTTCTAAAATATACTGAAGTAACAACTAGTTATGTGTTTCTTTGCAATTTAAATATGTTGAGGCCCTTTGTGTTATGGAAATTGGGTTATTTCTCAGCAAAATTGTATTGCCTAAAAAATTAAAACTATGTTAAAAATATGTCAGTGCACCATTTGTTTCTTTCTTTGAATAACGAGCAACATGCAAGTGTGAATACAGTAGATCCAGTTATGTACTGTTAGCTTTAATATTAGAGTTATATGGCATAATATTATAATCAAACTTAAAAGCAAATATATTTTTCAAGGTACCTTATAGAGAAGCACTAAGCATTTATTTGTAATTTATTTTTAAAACAAGTTATGGATATTTTAATATTGTAAGATATAATTATTTATTTATTAATTTATTTTGACTAAACGGGCTGAGCCCTTTCGATATACAAATGTATGTCCACGCACACAATTAGATATTATACAACATGTCCCTTGAACAGGTGGGTACGTTAGTTAGTAAAATAGCTTTAAAATAAAATCCTATAAACAATATTCTCACCTTTAAGTTTCATAACTCGCTCCAATATGGTATGTACATAATTATCTTCAAGAAAGTCAATGTCTGAAAATTGTCAACACATTGGCTCAACTTAATAGTTTCTTGTATGTGGTACATCATATATTTCAGTTTCGAAAACCATAATAAGTATAATCCACTGTATGAACTAAAAACGATAAACCACTAAGTAACTTTTGGCTTTGGCAAACATTTAAAAACGGAAATTAGTAATATACTTATATAAGTGTGTGTGAATTAGACATTATTAAGTTTCTAAGGCTTTTCTGGGTGAATTAAAATCATCGACTGTAATGTCTCCAAATCCTTTATATGTCTGTTCATTTTCTTCAAACTCATCGTTGGAGAAATATAATTTTCTGAAAATATAAAATTATCTGAATACATACCTAGGTAATTAATATTAATTAATATTAAAATAATTCCATATTAAAAGATTTTACCTCTTAGATGATTTACTAGTCGTGCTCAGAGTGGTACCAGTGTTCGCTGTGTATACACACCCGACCATAGTCGGGATTTTAATGGGCACCCGACCATGGTCGGGCTCATGGCTAAATATACTTAAGTATATTTAGCCATGGTCGGGCTGATAGTAGACACCCGACCATGGTCGGACTGATAGTAGACACACGACCGTGGTCGGGCTGATAGTAGTCACCCGACCATTTTGTTATTAAATGCGCATGAGTGATAAACTTATAAATTGTAATTAATTAATTAAATAATATGAAAGGTACTAATTTAACACAATATGGTGTAGCTGTGTAGGTTAGGTTACTTATTGACTGTTCAATAAATATCCGGTGGCATCCAGTGGCATTCAGTGGTTCTCTTAATAAGGTACAATATACAAAAGGTAATTTTATTATTGAATATTTTATTTATTTAATTTACATGTGTCACAAAACCAATATTTCCCATTTTGTTTTGATTTAACGCAGTCCATATGATGCCAAATTAAACAAGAGTCACACAATATGGAATTTTGATCAGCTCCTAAATCATTATTACATAATGGGCATACCCAGGTAATATTCTTTTTTTTTTGTTTAAGTACAGCAATAATTTTTTTCCATGCATCATTGGAGCAGTATGACTTGACAGTTTTAATATCAACTTCATTTTCTATAATCCCATTAAACACATCTGAATAGTGTTTAATATCTTTGATTTGGATTAAATATTTATCTTTTCTCACCTTGTTGACAACTGTCATGTCTGTGAGCCATTCTATAATTAAGTTTTCTTTATGCAAGTAATTATGTGCATTATAAGGAGTTGGTTTTATTTGTTTTTTGCGTATTGGAAGACCTATTGTTGTTTGTGTTGCACCCTTTGGTCTACCACTACACTTAATTTTTGTTGGTAATTTAATATCAGCAACTTTAAATTTGTTTGTGGTAGGGTTTTTGTCAGGTCCAGAACTTGTTGATGGCTGGTTAGCTTGACTCGAACTTGACTCATCATTCTGGACAGAAAATATTACATCTCCAATAATGTTTTTCTCAGGTCCAGAACTTGTTGATGGCTGGTTAGCCTGACTCGAACTTGACTCATCATTCTGGACAGAAAATATTACATCTCCAATAATGTTTTTCTCAGGTCCAGAACTTGTTGATGGCTGGTTAACGTTTTCTAAATTGTAAACACAAATTTAAATAATATATAGGTAATTTTTAAATTTTATTTCACCTTCATCATCATCATTGTCACATGCAGAACTTATCTCCTTAATTAAAAATTCTTCTTTTTTGCTCCATATACTTATTATTTGTTCCAACTGATTCATTCTTCTTTCATAATTGAATTGAGATGATATTGAAAGAAGTTCAGCCAATTTAGATGATATAACAGTTGCCTTTCGAAACTTTTCGTTGGCTGATAATAGTCTTGTGTTTTTAGGGTTTTTCTGAATTTCAATAGGAATATCATCTCTTACAGCCTCACATAACTTCAGCGGTTCTTTAAAAATTACATGGGATTTATAGTAATAGTTCCTTGTCCATCTTTTATCACATATATCTTCATCATATAAAGAATGATTTGTTGCTCTTCTTTTATTAAAAATATGCTTGCATGGCAACTTCATTGAGTTATAAAAAGCACAAGAACAAGATGTTAGTGATGTACCTCCTAAAATTTTAGTTTTGTTTGTACCGGACAGACCCTTTTTTAAATAGTTAAATGCGTATGGGGTTAAAAGCATGCTATATTTATATTCATCACTATTTTCAATTTTTTTTTGTTGGGAGTTTTTGTACTAAATTAATGGTCTTACTGTCCCTTTCTGACCGAACACACTTAATAACCACAAATAGCTGCTTAAAAAATTCGGAGAGATTTGAAAAAAATGGTATAACCGATTTTAATTTTGAATTAAAACTCTCAAGCCTATTATTTGTGGTATTTAAAAAGTTACCACTTTGAAAAGTTAAACCAGTGACCCATTCTTCTCGGATATCATGCCAATTCTTCTCAAAGTACATTTTGACTTGATGTGGAGCTTGACTTAAAAAATGGTATGTATCTCTTGGTATTCTTTTTCATTTTTACAGTAGCATAACTGTTCAATTAACTTTTTGCTATTATCTCGTTCATCTGGCGTTATACCTAATTTTTCGCAGGTGATTTCCCTGTTAAATGTGCGCAAAGTGTGGAAAAGGCAAATCACAAGACGAGAGGTTGGAAACAATGACTTGATAACAGAACGCTCTTTCATGTCCTTATCTGTAATAAATACTCTTGTATTTGAACAGGCTGGATTACATTCTTTGAACTTATTAAAGAACCATTGTAACGTGTCTCTCTGTTCATTTACTAGCAACCCAAGAGCAGCTATCTCACTCTGGCCATTACCATCCTCAATTAACAGCACATACAATGGGATTCTCATATCCACCAGCTTGTATGTAGCATCAGCACAAACCATCTATATTACAAATTTAATATAATTTCAACAGCTTAATATAAATTAATATTTTAATTTTATAATCACTTCAGGAAATGCTTTAAATTCTTCCTTCATCCTTAAATCTTGAAGAAACATGCCTAAAAAGTTCCCATCACTGTCTGTCAACAGTTCAACATGACAACCATACATCTTTTTGACATCTTCCACCGTCTCTTCAAAACTTTTCACACATTTTCGTTTCTCTAGAAAATGGAACATTCCACATTTAAGTAAGTTAAACCTCGTGTTATTTATTTAAACTAAGTATATTAATACCTGTACTGCGTATATTTGATAAATCTCTAAGAGTTACCACTTTGCCAGTTTCAGCTTGTACTTTGGCTTGAATAAGCTTTTTATTTGCCTTCATCTCCATCAGTTCAAGTACATCAGCTTTCATTTGTGGTTCCAAGCGGCGTTGATTTGGAAAATTGGAGAACAATAGTTCTGAGGTCTCGTGGTTATGTGTCTCATTCATTTGAGAAATCTCTAACTTAGTGCCATCAGTTGTAACTCTTACATAGATGAAAGCAGGACAATTTTGCTTCATTGTACTACATAATATAGAATATAGTAAATGTCCGAATGATGATGAAAGCAATAAAATAAGTAAAATAATTATATAATACTTACGAAGTGGCTCGTAGATCTTCACTTATTTTGCTTTTCTTAAAAATACCACCATGAATACACTTAAGCTTTAAAAAATAATATTTTAAGCATTCAGGAGTAAATTCCAATTTCTTGGGGTATTTTACTCGAACTGCATTTAATGTACGACAATCACTTGTTGAAAAATCATAATAATTTAATTTTTTATAGTGCTCTAACTTGACTAAAAAGTCAGCATATGAGTCAAATGTTCACCAATTTTCAACATTTTTATTGTATATAAATATAGAATAAAATTTTAAAGGAAATCACAGGTCACTTCGTTTACTATAGTTAATAGAACACTGTAATAAAGTAACATACAAATTACAACCATTTAGTTTACTACATACAGGTGTCTCTGGTGTTATCTTAAATATAAATGATATATCCGGTTTTGGGGACTGTACTATGGTCATTATTCTATAAAAATTATCTTAATAGCATCAATGTGAGGATGTACCAAAATATTGGGTTTTATTTCAAGGTCAGCTTAAATACAAACTATTCAACTATAAATCGCCGCGCATTTGATAACAAAATGGTCGGGTGTCTACTATCAGCCCGACCATGGTCGGGTGCCCATTAAAATCCCGACTATGGTCGGGTGTGTATACACAGCGTTATTTTAATATTAATTAGGTAGGTATTCAGATATTTTTTACGACTTTATATTTTCAGAAAATTACAACTATGAGTTTGAAGAAAATGAACAGACAAATAAAGGAATTGGAGACGTTACAGTCGATGATTTTAATTCACCCAGAAAAGCCTTAGAAACTTAATAATGTCTAATTCACACACACTTATATAAGTATATTACTCAAGTTCCGATTTTAAATGTTTGTCAAAGCCAAAAGTTACTTAGTGGTTTTTCGTTTTTAGTTCATACAGTGGATTATACTTATTATGGTTTTCAAAACTGAAATATATGATGTACCACATACAAGAAACTATTAAGTTGAGCCAATGTGTTGACAATTTTCAGACATTGACTTTCTTGAAGATAATTATGTACATACCATATTGGAGCGAGTTATGAAACTTAAAGGTGAGAATATTGTTTATAGGATTTTATTTTAAAGCTATTTTACTAACTAACGTACCCACCTGTTCAAGGGACATGTTGTATAATATCTAATTGTGTGCGTGGACATACATTTGTATATCGAAAGGGCTCAGCCCGTTTAGTCAAAATAAATTAATAAATAAATAATTATATCTTACAATATTAAAATATTCATAACTTGTTTTAAAAATAAAATACAAATAAATGCTGCTTAGTGCTTCTCTATAAGGTACCTTAAAAAATATTTTTGCTTTTAAATTAGACCAAGCAAAAGAGCGTATTGAGGAATTAACAGTAGATTTAGAACTCTTAAAGGCTGAGTTTGAGAAAGGAAATGTAAGTGAAGAGGGAGAAGATGGTGCCAATTCTTTCAAAGGCAAGCAACTTGAACAACAAAATGTACGTCTTAGAGATACACTATTCAAGTATAAGATGCTTTTATATTATTATTGTTGAATAAAATTGATTGATTCCTATTTAGTTGACACTTATTGAAACTTTAGATTACGAGACTTATCCGCCCATGAGGAACACCAAACACAAATACAAAGAGAAATCGATAAATGACTAAACAATGTAATGATTTACAAAAGTCTAATGAAGAACTAGCATCTCAAGTTAATGATTTGCATGAACAGGTTTTATATTAATTTTTAAATAGATAGTTTCCAAGTATTAATATATTATTATATTTTAGGTTGATGCAGCTTTAGGAGCAGAAGAATTAGTTGAGCTTCTGGGTTAACAGAAATTGAATTTGAAATTAGAATTGGAGAAAGCAGTGACTGATCTAGAAGCGATACAAGATATTAATGATCAACTCCGAGAAGATAGTACAGAGTTGGAAATGCAATTACGTAAAGAATTAGATATGGCAAATGCTAATATTAGAGAGGTTTTAAATAGTATTAATAGCAAACATTTTATTTTTATTTATACCTAAGTCATATTTATTTTAAAGTGTGTCAAAGGAAAAGGACAAGCATTGGAAAGTTTAGCTGATCGGAATTTGGTTATTGTAAAATTTAAAGGTCTGGTTAATAAGAGAACTAAATCAAGATCTACAAACTCAATTAATGGGAGAATCTGCTACAAATGATGAAGTTCGGTCATCACTACCAGAAATGCTTGACTTTAAGGTTAACTGTAAATTAAAATATTTATTACATGGAAAAATAGTTAAAAATTTATTATTTTTATTAGAAAATGTTTGTTTTATATTAATTGGATGAAACACAACAGCAATTAAAAAGAAATTCAAAAGAATAAGAAGAAACGATGGACCATTTGCAAGCAGATATTGATTCACTAGAAACAGAAAAAGGAGAACTAAAAAATAAACTTAAACATTTCTCAAAGAAAATTCTTATTGAGGGTATAAACAAGTGAGTTACCTATACTTTTAAGCTGTAATTAAAATATAGTTCTTAAATTTGAGTTGCATAATAATTCTATATTTTTTCTTTTCAGTGACCGGTACTGGAAATGATAGTAATAAACCATGCAAAGAATCTCCATTTTTACTTAACAAATTAAAGTTAACCAAAATGGCACTAAAACATGAAATAGATCAAAGAGCCAAGCTTGAAAATAATTATTGTGAACAAATATTTTCTCAATTAAAACCTTTGCCTGTAAGTTAATACACTTATTTTTATTTTTGAAATAACAATATTATAGTAATGACTAGGCTTCTTCAACGATATCGATATTTCGATACGATATCGATATCGCGAACTTTTTTTCGGAAATTTCGATATCGATAATCTTAATATATCGTACGATATATCGATAAACGATTATCGATATATCGTATGATATATCGATAAATGATTATCGATATATTCGATAATCGAAATATATCGATATACCCCGGCCATTGGGTATTTAGTATTTACTATTTGTGTTAAAAATAGCACAGGATAACAGAAAAATAATTAATTTGCCCAGTGACAATTAAAGTCTCAGTGACTCAGTCAGTTAGTCAGTGTTTATCGCTTGATGTTGATAGTTTCGTCGTTTTACTTTCGTTGGTGATTTGTTCTTTGTTTCGGTTTTTCGTTAATATAGTATAATGGCCGATACGCTAGTGTCATTAGCTGGTGCGCGCAGTGATGTATGGAAGTCATTTGGTTTTAAAGTTGACGATAGTGGTGTAATAATAAATCATAAAAAAGTTACTTGTCGTAATTGTTTACTGGCAATAGGATATTCTGGTAACACTTCCAATTTAAAATCACACTTGCAACAATGCACAAAAGGCAAGTCTGAATCTAAAATATCCATTTCGACATTTTTTACCAGTTCCAAGTCCAAATTATCATCCAATAGTAAACGCCACAAAGAGCTCACTAAAGGTCTATTGAACTTTGTTGTGAGAGATGTACGGCCCTTCAATCTTATTGAAGGAAAAGGATTTAGAGCGTTCATGAATTTGGCTGTTCCAGAATATGTAGTACCCAGTAACGCAACCATAACAAGGCTATCCGATCATATTACATCAAAAGAAAAACTAAACTTTAAAACCCATCTTAAAAATATCCCTCATATTTGCCTAACAATTGATTTTTGGACATCACGTGCCGTCAATAGTTATCTTGGTGTTACATGTCATTTTATTGAAAATTGGAAGCTAAAAAGTAGAGTTTTAGAGACAGTAAATATTGAAGAATCCCACACATCCTTAAACATAGTAAAAAATCTCAAAACAATTATAAATGATTATTGGGAAATGGATGGCAGAGTTTGTGCAATAGTCTGCGATAATGCACCAAATATGACAAAGGCGGTACGACATTTAGAACATGTGAATTTAGTCAGGTGTTCTGCTCATAGCATACAACTGGCTATAAATTATGGGCTTAAAGACGAATCAATTACAGATCTTCTCATAACTCTTCGTAAAATAGTTGGACATTTTCATAGAAGTGCGGTGGCTCAACACAATCTTGAACAAGAACAGGACAAGCTTCAGATTCCAAAAAGTAAATTGGTGCAAGATTGCATTACCAGATGGAACTCTACTCATGACATGATGGGTAGTTTAACTAAAAACCGTGAAGCAGTAAATAATTGTTTGAGAAGTAATCCTAAGACCGAAGAATGGTATATAACAGTAAGTCAAAATGATACCATGACTGACCTTATAAATATTTTGGAGCCATTCAAAACAGCTACTGAAATTCTTGGCGGTGATAAGTATGTCACTTTATCGATTGTTGGGAGATTGTTTAAAAATTTGATTAGTTCTCTTGAATGTATTCAAACAGACAGTGTTACTATAAAGGATATAAAGTTACTCATAAGCTCTGATCTTAAAAAAAGGCAAGATAAAATGGGAGATATTATACATAAAGCTGCTGCCTTAGACCCACGTTATCGAAGTTTAAAATATCTGTCAGAAGAAGACAGTCAAAACACATGGGCATCACTTGAAACAGAATTATTAGAAAATACAGTCAACTACAATGAAAATGAAAAACAGCCATGCACATCACAGTGCTCTGTGGAAGAAAGAGAAGATACAGTTGATCAACCTAGAAATAAAAAAATGAAAAAAAGTCACTCTTTACTTGCAGACAGTGATGATGAAGACAGCCATGATGAAGATGAAGATATGGCAGATGAAGGTCTTCAGCAACTGAAACGGTACAGACAGTATGCAGAAATTGTCCCAAAAAATATTGACCCCTTAGTTTGGTGGAAAGCTAACTCCTACAAATTTCCTGTTATTGCCAAGTTGGCAAGGAAGTATCTGTGCATTGTAGCCACAAGTGTTCCTAGTGAACGACTGTTTAGCCAAGCCGGGCAAGTTGTATCACAGAAAAGAGCAAGATTGATGCCAAGCAGGGTAAATGATTTACTATTTCTCAATTCATTCTTGAGGACAGAAGAATCAATTAATGTAAGTACCTAGTACATACTAATTATTAATTAATAATTAATAGTAATTACAATAATGTAGTGAAAACTAAAAATATTAGGCATGTAAGATCATAAAAAGACCTACTACCTACCTAAATGTGTTTCATTATTGAAAAGTAGGTATTTAAAATGCTTTTTAAATTATATTTATTTAAGGTAGGTAGTAGGCATTGACATATGGTAGTAGGTACCTACTTGATAAGTGATAACTGATGACTGATTTGCTATGAATTAATATATAATAATTATTAATTAATAATTAATAATCCAATTTTTTTTAAATTAGGATGAAGAGTTTAAGTATGAAGAAACTGAAGAGAATATCTAGTGTCTACTATCTAGACTGAAGATAAATTTAAAATAATGTTATAATTATTAATTAATGTTTTAAGTTTTTATATTTAAGAAAGAATAAACATGAAAGTTTTTTTGTTATGGAGCAGAGCCTGTTAATATTTATTATTTAATATAGTAATATAAAATATTAAATACCTATTAAAATAATTAAAATATTACTTAATGCTAACTAAGGCCTATCCATTAATTTATTATCTATGTTGCTTACCAACTTTTATGCTGTATTTTACTATACATCCTAGTCCTTAATGTATTTAAAAAAACAATTAATTGTTTACTAATAACTAGTTATTACCAACTAGTAAATTGACAATAGTCTATACTCTATTGTCAGCACTGAACTAAATACATGGAATGCGTATTACCTATTATGTATAAAAAATTAAGAAAAAAAAAATTTTGATATCGATATATCGGAATATCGATATATCGGAATATCGATATATCGATATATCGGAATATCGATATATCGATATCAAAATTTTTTTTCGATATCGCGATACGATATCGCACACAATCAAAACGATATCGATATTCAAAATTATATCGTTGAAGAAGCCTAGTAATGACTGATGAAATATTTGTTGCAATATAATAATCAAAATATTTTACAATTTAAAACCTTTTTCAATTTTGATTTCTAGTTTAATTTAATAACTGCTTTGAAAATTGGGTGGGTAGGTGCGTAAAATAATAGTGTATTCTTCTTAAACTTTCTGCTATAATTTTACTAAACATAGGAATGTCATTAAATTATGTACATTTAATTAGTAAGTTAGTTTAATTAGTTTCACAGTCATTTGAAAGGGTGTTGATTTGGAAGAAGTGGGAGGTGTGTTTCAATCAAACTATTTGAACTGCCAGTTTTAATAATTAAGATTATGTAACACGAGCATTTGTTGTCTCCGTCTTACAATTACGTAACAGCACATTTAAGCTCAGCAGATCACGTTTGACTTTGTTAGTTTAAATTTAGAGTGAATGAAACTTGATGGTAAGAAAATTATCTTTGTTCTTATAGTAGTTTTTAGTGTAGTTAAATTTTTTAGCAAGTTTTACGTATATAATATAGCGTTAATTAAAAAAGCTCATAACTGAAAATCATGTTTCATAATAGGTCGATTCATTCTAATTTTTAAACTAGAAAAGTTTAATGTTTTTTGCTGAGCTTAAATTTCCTATGTTACTCTCTTGTAAGACAGAGAAAACAAATGCCCGTGTTACGTTCTCTTAATATTTTCATTTTTTTGAAGATCACGTATCTGTTTTCAACTTTGCTCTAAACAATTTTGAAAATGTATATGTCCAATTATTTCCATAATTTTCTTGTTGACAAGTAATTTTACACACAATTTTTTACTTGCCTCATGTTATTTATAATAAGTCTCATCAAAATTGGTATATTTTGTCATCATTTTAAAGGCAGTATACATTTCAATACTTCTATTACAAAAATCAATTTTAGATTCTGAGTGGAACGATGAATGTATTGATTTTACATTGATGTGTGTTTTTTTTATTTTTTATTATTTATTCAATTTTGTGTCTGTCATCATGGTTTTGGGCCATAAAACTGCTTCGATTTTCTTCAACAGTATCTTGTTTGATGGAAAACTGAATCTAGTTGGTGCATTCGGGAGGTCAAATTTTAAAATTCCCAATAGTTTTGTGCCGGAAAAAACAACATAAAAATTAAAGAAAAACGGGATTTTTTAAGCAAAATTTTTGGTTTTTGGTGTAACTATAAAACAAATGAACGTATACATGAAATGTTCACTGCTTGTTTATATTTGCATTTTCTATACATGATAAAATTTTCAAAATATTATGATATGTTTTTAACTGTTTAGTTACATTTGCAGTTTCCCATTTTATTAGTTTTTTTTTTTATGAATATCAATGAAGTTTTATGTGTTGGGTCAAAAAGTGTAAAATTTTAATACAATGCTCCTGATATATTGTTACAATAGCAGTTGAAAAATATTAAAAATACACAAGCACAGTTTATTTTTATAGTCATATTAAGTTCATTTTGGACGAAATTACATATTAAAAAACCTAGCATAATTATTTTAGTTATTTTTTTGTGATTGTATAATATTATTCGTGGGTACCTACTTGAAACTTCTAAAGTGTACTATTATGTATCTATGATAGTATCACGGTTTTTTGTTGATGTATAACGCATTATAAGTACTTATTGGATATTGTGATATGATTAATTTTTAATTTATTATAGGTCAATATTTTTTAAAATATAGATATGTATATATAAGTCTTAAACCTAGACTGACATACCATCTCCGCTCAGAATCGTTTTTCTTATACAATGATATTATATCATTGAATTCAAATTTAATACCATCGATTATACAGTAACCCACTTTAATTTATTTTAAGTAAACAAAGTTCCAATTTAATCTAAAATAATTCTACCCGTGCCTAGCTATAATTTTTGCTATAAAATCAGGTATTTTGTGTTTTTTGCTATGTTTTTATGAGTAGTATACTTAAATATGATAATGACAATATGAGATACACAAAATAAAAACATTTCTTAATATAAGTATCAGATAAATGTATAATTATTGAAATCCTGCATGTATTAATAACAAAATAATAACGGAGCAGGAACTAGAAATACCTTAATGTTTTATGCTTATACGTTAAATGTACTAAATATATAATACTAATTTTCACTAAACAATTTATTTTTGTATATTATGTTATAGTATTGTACTATGTTTTACTATTTTATTAATTTTTATATTAACCTTATGGAAATAGACTAAAAGTGTATTGCATAAATGCAAACATGTTGCACAGAGTGCATGCTATACCTAAGAATACCCAAATTACATTTAAAAATCTATGTCTTTTAGTAATTATAATATAAGATAGTAAATACACCAAACTGTAATTTAATAACAAAATTAAAATAATTTGTCATGTTTTAGATTACCTAGTTGAATAATCATCTTGTGAAGAATCACCATCAGAAAAGGCACCAATCAAAATGGATAATAAGTTTACCAGAAAAAAACAAGAAATCCCAAAAATTGGAAACAATCAATCAATAATGATTTGACTGAAAAAGGACTTGAACATGTATCTAAAACAGGCAAAATAATTCCAGCCAAAATTGTAAACTTTCTAAGGTCTTGTAATAGTTGTGCATATAGTTGTTTAGTTAATTTTGATCGAGATGAAATAATAAGTATTCACGATTTATACTATAGTCTCAGCAGAAAAGATAAAATTTTATTTATACTTAATTATAAATCCTTAATTACTTCAAAAATAAATGTTTAAAACCGTACAGCTCATTTGTCTACTTCCAATACTATATATTGTGCTATTTGAAATGAAACAATTATTGGTATATCAGGAAATGACCTTGCAAGTGTGTTTATTAACATATTACAATATATTGTTGATAATAATTTGGGTATACTAAACATTGTTACATGGTCTGATAGTTGTGTGCCACAAAACTGGAATAAGTTAATGTCATTATTGGGTTTATGTTGAAAAATCCCAGAACAAAATCTGTTACAATGAAGTTTTCAGTCCCAGGCCACTCGTGCATCCAAGAAGTGGATAATGCATATTCACAGATTACGAAACATATAAAAAAAATAGATATTTGGTCACCATTGTCATTTGTTAGATCTTAAAAGTTAACTAAAAAAAAACAATAATACAAATAACAGTTAAGAATGAAAAAGTTCTAATTGATGAATATATTTCTTTTTATTTTGTTGAAAAGTTCCTAATTGTAGAACCAATTTATAATATGTATTTTATTAATTTTAATACCAACCAATACAGCAAATTATTATTATAATGATGTGAATTAAACTATACATGTTGCTACATGCCTTAGAACTTTAATTTAAACAAAATGATTTCAAGGAATAAGTTATTTTAACTCAAACCTTAAAATTACTGTCCTCGACAATTTCATATTAATGATTTAGAACCTTTTCATTCTAGACCCACGAAGTTAAAACGAATTAAGAACGATATTGCAAAAATCATTAGTTATTAATTGAAAATGATAGTGAAGTCTATTTTAAAGTTATAGCTAATTGAAATTTTTGGTTATCTCCTATATACCTACCCGGCGTATTCACTTGCACGCTATGCTCGCTCGGAAAATTATAATTAAAAACATCCCTCGACTTGTTATGAATTATTTATGCACCATCATTCTGAAGACCTTGATTTAACTAGTTTAAAAAAATTGTTATTTGTTATACCTACTTAAACTAGGTAAACTTTAAGCGTTGTAAGGGTGCGTAAAACACCGAAAATCGTGAACTCCGTAAGGTTATGCGATAACAACTAATGATTTCCGTGAATTAATTTTTTCATCATAAATCTTATAACTGGTTGCAAATCACTTTTAATTATTTTATATAGTGATATTATTGGTAGGGTAAGTTAAACAACTTATGTTTGTTGTGAACTTACATACATTTTTCCAGCTGTAACAAAAAAAGTAAAAAATATTTATACTTGAATTTTCCATACATGGTAAAATTTTCAAACTATTTTGACTCTTTTTAAGTTAATTATAGTCATGAGAAAATTATTTATCAGTTTAAAAATCATTAAGTTTCTTGCCCCAACCACTTTTTTTTATAAATTTGTAGGTAAAAATTTAACTTCCCCTAAACTGACTCTATGGAGTATGGCCTCCGGCGGGAGAATGCATTAGATATTAGAATGTCTATCACAGATATAAACTACTGTAAATTATAATTTATATTATATATTAATTGTGATGTACTGATGTCTATAAATTTGCGGACTAATTTGTTTGATAAATTTAGTAGGTATGCGATAAATAACTGAAATAGAAAACAAGAATACATTGCAGACCACAATCATTTCTGTAAAAGAACACACGATTTATTAATAGACCGTTTATGTGCTGAGTGTAGAAGTTCTATGGATTTATCATAT